TTCCTGGTATATATATATATATGATACTGCATAGAATAATGGCCTGAGATACTGCTTAGTGGTACAGCAGTTGCCTAGCATGTGTGAGGCTATGGGTTTGACCCCCAGCATAGGAAAGAAGAAAAAAGAAAGTACAGAATTTATACAGAGCTGTACATTCTGCTATTTTCTTTCTTTTTTTCTTTATTTCTCTCTGTCTCTTTTTCTCTCAGCATTCGGGAGGCTGAGGCGGGAGGGTTGCCGTGAGTTGGAGACCAGCCTGGGGCTACATAAGGAGTTCAAGTCTAGCCTGGATTATATAGCACAACCCTGTCGCAAAAAACACAACTAAAAAAAAAAAAAAAAAAAAAACTAACATGAGGTAAATGTCCACAGTTGCTGTACTGTGTTCCATAGAGGTAAAGACAAGGAGGAGTAAACATTACTCAGTGTAGACATAATTTTTTTCAGTGCTGAGAATTGACATCAGGGCTTTCACTGAGTTACATTCCCAACCCTCCTTTGTGTTTCCTTTTAAGATAGGGTCTTGCTAAGTTACTCAGGCTGGGTTCAAACTTGTAATTCTCCTGCCTCAGCTTCCCAGAGTGCAGGAATAACAGGCGTGCACCAAGTGTACTTAGACACAATTTAAAAACTGGGTTTTTTTCAGTTGCAGTAGGTCAGCTCCACAGATACAGAACCCCTTACGGAGGACAGAGTAGTTACACAGTATTCTTATATTTTGTTTGAGAGACACCAAGTGACTTTTTCTGAAGTTTAAAAAGAAGTTTATTGCCTTCTATAATTATAGAGACCAGAGATAACAGTTGTCTTCAAACATGTGGGTAACACAGGTTCAGTGTCTTCAGGCCCCATCTACCTATTTTAGTTACAGTCAAGTAACTGCTACTTGTAAGATAAACAGCAGCTCTAGCTTTTACTTCACTCTCAGATCTACAACACAGACAAAATTGTAAATGAAATTATGGGTTTGCCATTCCTAATCCCAAAGTCTCAAGTCCTAAATGAAGCCAAGTAACTTGACTGAAATCACACAACGATTATTTTCTTTGGGGCTGGAGATGAAACCCAGAGCCTCATGCGTGCCAGGCAAGTGTTCCACCACTGAGCCACTCCCCCGGGGGCACGTAGCAGTTTTAAGAGCTGGGAATTGCAGTCCAGGACTGGCTGACATCAACACTTCGTGTAGACTCTAAGTTCAACACACGGGCCGGTGACTCTCAGGAAGGGAGAGAAAGGCAGATGTGGGGCTATTGGTCCGTTGTCCACTTTCCTCCAAAGCACCATCACCACAACTTCCCTGCCAGCTGTCCTGAAATGAAATTGTTTTGGCCGTCCAGGTTTCCTCCATAAATTGGAGCAGCATCTGGTCTTCGAGGAGAGCCAGGTGTTGCAAGAGCTCATAACTGAGGGTCCGATGACTCCTGGTTTGAGTGACCAGCTGGTGCCGGGTCCCCCAGGGAGAATGTCTATGTGGAGTCCGATGTCCACACCCCCAAAGGGAACCCAGAAAAATGATTCTGTTTAGAGACTCTGGAGCAAAATCCAGAGCCTGAACCCCTTCATTAGCTTTCTGAAGATGCTGATTTGAGAGCCCTGCGGGTTTCCAGCTGGGCATCTCTGAGCCAGGACAGTGCATTTTCCTATTTATTCACTCCACGGTGTTTTCTCCAGAAACCTTGATCCAACCTGAGCTGAAGATGGAAAGTTCTTTCACCATAAGGTTGGCATTGCCATTTGGAGCCAGGTGTGGTGGCACATGCCTGTAATTCCAGCACCTCGGGAGGCTGAGACAGGAAGACTGCAACTTAGCAAGACTCTGTTTAAATAAATAAATTGGCCAGAGATGTAGCTCAGTTTTAAAGTCCTGGGTTCAACATCCCAGTGCCCCAGCAAACAAACACCTCAGCTGGGTGACAAAAATCGGGCCAGACCTCATACAATTTATTATTCTTCTCAGTGTGGGTGTGCATGTTTTGCTGCAGAAAATGAAACTGATGGGTGTGATTACGAGATGCTGCTGGTGCAGAACAGCCTGTAATATGTGGTTTGTGCATCCCTAGTCTTTCTAAAATCCCAAAGGATTTCCAGTCTGGCTCCAGGGGTTCCAGTTAAAGGGCTGTGGTCTTACTGCTTTATAATCACTGAACTCGAGCAGGACAGGCCATCCCCTGACCAGGGAGCAGGTGGCTTGCTTATAGTCATGAAGAAAGCCTTCCCACACCTCTGGTCAGACCTGGTGGCTGGGATTCCATCGCCAGGGAGTCTGTTCTTTGTTGTCCCTGTAAGCGGTGGAGGAAACCAGAAGTCTCTAATGTGACTCATATGTGGTTTAGTCCTTTTAGATTTTGCCTCTGGGAGAACAGGAGGGCTGAAGCAAGCAAGGAGCTGCAGAGGGCAAGCAAGTGCTGATGGTTTGGACAAGAGCAGGACAGAGGCCCCGCCAAACATAGGCCCTGTGCAAGGTGGGCCCTGCAGGACGGGCAGGCAGCCCTGGGCAGGAAGAGCGACACACAGCGCAGGGGAGTCAGGCGGGGAGGAAAGCTGGGGTGGCCTCTTCACAGCCCAGAGGGTCTATCCTTGAGGACACCTAGGACAGCTATCTAGTGGCCTTCCTAGTACATAGTCCCCTTCCTTGGCAGGGGTCCCCCAGAACGGTCCAGATCAGGAAGAGAATGAAGTCCTGCACCTGTATTTCCCTACTTCCTGTCAGCAGTAATTGCAGGTCCCAAACCGGTGGCAGAAGAGCCACCGGCTGGAAGGCACTAGGACACGGTGGGACAGGCGATGGCTTTCTAAAATGGCTTTGACCATCGCGGGGATGCAGAGACCTGCGGCATCTGAGGCCGTGTCGCCCCCATTTTTAGATGATCCTATTTAGAAAAGAAAAAATGACAAGTGAGGATCATACACATTTGGCTTGATTTTAAGGGCGTGAGTGGACTGGGCGGTGTTCCCAACCCGAGGCACCACTTCTTTCTGGCTACCCGGCATTTCGGGGAACCAGCCAGTGCGCCCCCTGCTGGCTGTGGCCGGGCTCGCTCTGCCACGGACTCCTGGTGGCTGCGGTTTGCTCAGTGTTTAATGCGCCACCTGGCGGCGGCGGTGGGAAAGGCAGAGGCACGCCAATCCGGAGCTCGGGCCCCAATCGCGGCTCCGGGAGACCAGGCTGCAAAGGGTTAAGCTGTCAGCGGCGCGATGTTAAACAGGTGTCAAAGGCGCCCCATATATCTGCAGATTGAAATCAAATTCTTTGCCGTATAAAAAGATAAATTACCCAGGCGCTGCCGCGCGTCCCACTCATCACGCCAGCGCCAGACGGCAAGCAATTTTTTTTTTTAATGTGCTAACGACCTAATCAAGCAATCAAGTCGGAGAAGATTGCAGAGTGACCGGGGCAGCCATCTGCCGGCGAGCCCCGCATTCATTCCTGCGCCCCCGCGTGGGGCGGGGGCCGGGGAGGGAGCTGCCGGGGGAAGAGGGGAAAAATCCTAAACAAATTAACACCCAATTTTCCCCGTCTAATTAGTTAAATGAGAAGTGTTTGGGGTCCCCTGGGGAGGGGGGCGCCTCGCCGCGAAGCGAGCGCTGCCTCCCCAGCATTAATTAGTGCGGGTCAATGCCGCGGCTCCCGGGAGAGCGGCCGCTTTAATTTCCCGTGATATTTCAGTGCCTGAGGCCCATCGATTCAAACTGAAATTAACTTATTTTTCAATCAGCCCAGGGCTGCCCCTGGGGGTGACTCTTCTTTTGCCGCCTCCTGAATAGAGCTGGAGCAATTTTTCATCAAAAGCTGATACCTCGGCCGCGGAGGGCGGGGCGGAGCCCGGAGGGAGTGGGGGCGGGGCGCCCGGGCCGGGATGGGACTGCGGGAGGGATGCGCGGTTCCGCAGCCGCCGCTGCCTCACCCCGGCGCTGCCCTCCGGTGCTCCCACCGGTGTCTTGTCACCCCCACGGGCCCCAACCCCAAGGGAAGACGAGACCGGAAGCTGGAGTGGGTGGAGAGGTCCTAGAGGGCTTGTGTCTCCTTGAGGGAGGCCTGGGGATGTTCCTGGCTCTGTCAGCTGCTGAAGCCTCAAGAAAGCCTTTTGGGGAACCAAGACATCCTGAGCTCCCAGAACAGAGCAAAGATTCTGAGATCACACCAAAAACTGCAGACACACGCTCTGGGTACCTCTGTACCGTCCGGCTTTGCAGTAATCAGTGTAGACACTGAGAAAAGTCCCCTAGTGGATGTGGGCTACAGCTCTTTCCTAGGCACCTTCTCCCCTCACACCTGGAGAAAGTCTTCACTCCCTGACTGGCAGATGGCACCTGGTCAGTTGACCAAATTCAGATTTAGAGCCAGCAGTGTGGGCAGTGAATACTTGTAGGGCAGGAGCAGCATGACAAAGCTCAGCTGGGACAGGGCAGAGAAGGAGGGTGACCCGGGGCTCGCGTGGGCTCCCTGCTCAGGGGCTTCCAGACAGATAACCCGGATAAGGTGTCCGAGATTGTTCACTGCCCGGTGCTCCCCGCCCCTTCCCGGACTGCTTTGGATTCTGGGTCTCAGGCAGAGAAGCAGGGACCCTGCCTGTCGGGGACTGAAAACAGAAAGTGGTTCTGTAAACACCCCCACCCCCTACAAAGGGCTTCTCAGCCACACCCAAGGACCACCGGGGTGCTGCCCTTTTCCTAGGCCCTCTGGGGGGGCTTCCCTACCCCACCTCCCCCAGAACTGCTTTGACTGAAAACCAAACAAAGGAAGACATGTTTTACCACCCTATCACTTGGGACTTGTTCTTCCAAGCCTGGAGGAACTTTGGGGACACCACAGGGTGGGACAGCTGTGTAAGGACAGCCTGCTGAGAAAACCTCCAGGCCAGGCTGGGAATGTAGCACAGCGCCTGCCTGACAAGTGTGAGGTCCTAAGTTCAATTCCCAGTACTGGGGGGAAAAAAAGCCTACGGCCTTGGCTCCAGCGCTGGGTGTCCTGCTGACCCACTCTTCTACACTGGCAGGTCTGGTTTCAGAACCGCAGAGCCAAGTGGAGGAAGCGAGAGAAGTGCTGGGGCCGGAGCAGCGTCATGGCCGAGTACGGGCTCTACGGGGCCATGGTGCGGCACTCCATCCCCCTGCCCGAGTCCATCCTCAAGTCCGCCAAGGACGGCATCATGGACTCCTGTGCCCCGTGGCTACTGGGTAAGAAGAGCCCACAGCCTCCTTGGGTGGGCTCCCTGCAGTGGGGACTTAAGCTGGGGCCAGGAGAACTGGGCCACAGCAGCCTGAAGGGAAGCAGGCCCCCCCAAGAAGGCCACCCATCTACCCTGGGGACCCAGGCAGGCAGGCAGGGATTGGGCCTGATTTCTGTCCCTTACACCTACCTCCTGGGTGCCAAGGTCTGTTACACAGACAGGGCTTTAGTCTTGTAAGGAGGGTGTGGCTGTTTCCCTGGGGTCTGTTTTTACCTTCCATTTGATCAGACATGGTTTATGGTGATCGAATTAACTCCTAGGTTCCTTTAACCACTGGCTTTGTCCAAAGGACTTCTTTCCCCTAAATCTCTCCACCCGCCATCTCCCCCCACCTTCTGGGTCCTTTTCTCCTGACAACATCTGCTTATCTTGGGGTACTAAGATCTGGAATTCCAGGACATAAAGGCCTGAGGTTGTGTCCTGAAGGGACAGAATCGGCTATAGAGGCCCAAAGTTGGTGTGAATCCCTCGCAGGCCTTGGCTTTCATCCTTTGGCCTGCAGCCCTGTCCCCTTGGCCATTTTCCCTGGTCCCTGGCCCCAGCCCAGCCCTAGGTCTTGCGCTGCGGTGTGTGAAGTAAGGCTTTCTGCTTGTCCTTAATTCTGGCCTCTCTCTATCTTTGCTGTTTTCAGTTCAAGATGGCTTTCCCAGACGCTTTTCTAAACCCGAATACCAACAATTCTTTTTAGGAATGCACAAAAAGTCGCTGGAGGCAGCAGCCGAGTCGGGGAGGAAGCCCGAGGTGGAGCGCCAGGCCCTGCCCAAGCTTGACAAGATGGAGCAGGAGGAGCGGGGCCCCGACGCGCAGGCGGCCATCTCCCAGGAGGAACTGAGGGAGAACAGCATCGCGGCACTCCGAGCCAAAGCTCAGGAGCACAGCACCAAAGTGCTGGGGACTGTGGCAGGGCCGGACAGCCTGACCCGGAATCCCGAGAAGCCAGAGGAGGCAGAGGCTATGGACGAAGATGGACCAGCTGAGCTGAGTCCACCACAGCTCGAGGACATGGCTTAGGCCAGGGGCCCCTCAGACGCCAGAGCCCCAGGACTCTGCCCCTCCTGGGGAGGAAGGTTGTCTCTGAGGCCCAGCCAGGCCTGGCCTCGGCCATCCTCCCTCTGCCCCCAGGCTCTCCGTGGCCCCCACTGGCTCCATGCGCAGGTCAGTTCTGGCTGTGCTTTTGGACCATGCTGAGACACCCTGGACCCGGTCTTCACTCGGCAGCGCCCTTCTCATCCCGGCATCCCTGCCTCAGAAGCCATCTTGCTGCCCTAGCTGTCCCTGCGAGCCCCTGTCACTCAATCCCTTGGCAACTCTCGCTGTCCGAGTCCTCCCCTTCCTCTGTGTTTGCTGGCTCTAAAGAGGCTTCCTTTCTAACTCTGAACACCCTGTGGATTCTGCTCAGCCCATGCCTGAGACTCATTGTTGCAAACATTACCTGCCACAGCCGTGACGTGGACTGAGGCCCTGGGTTCCAGCGCCAGGGTCCTGAGCCCCCAGGCTTCAGCAGTCTCCTGTGCCCACCTGTGGACTTTACGCCGGGCTTCTGCGGGCTGAATACATTGCTTTGCAGGCCCATGTGCAACCTCTGCCTGCCTCACCGTTGGCATGTAAAATCTCAGCCGAGGCCCCTCGGCCACCTTCAGTCTCGTGCCCTGCCGTGGTCACCTTCAGGAGCCCTCCCTCTCCATGGTTTCTCTGCCGCACAGGCGCCAACACCAGATACAGCATGTACAGTGCTCACAGTAGATCCAAGGACCTGTGTCCAAGGAGGTTGAGCGGACCTCAGCCACGTGATGGCTCACAGCACTGATGGGAACCGAAGCCCCTGGGCCTGTGTTCTGACTCTCCCCAGATGCTGCCTGTGTAACCTGACTTGCTGTGCAAGATACCCTTCCCCTTGAGCTTTTTGTAAGTGCGCATGTGCCCTGCTTGGAGAAACCTAGTGCAGCTAGGAGGCCACAGACCTGGTCTCAACTTAACTCGGACCAGCTGGAGTAGGCTGGGCCGTGAATACCCATCAAGGATGGGTCATAAGGAGGGTATGGGAAGGAAAGCCAGGCAGGAGGCCAGTATTAAACCCAGACCAACTGCAGGCACTCATACCTTCATCCGGGTGTATGCTGGGGAGTCCAGAATGTCTGCTGGAGTAGGACAGGCCCAGGAGCCATCCTGGAATGAGGCACTGGGCCCTTCTGTCTGGCTAGGGGAGGTTTGGTCAATCCCGAGGGCCCATCTGCAGCTGCCCTTCCACCCTGGCCTTTATTTACCTTTTGCATTAGTAACGAAATCACAGCTTCAGGGAGCCCACTGAGCTCACATTCCCAGGCCAAGCACAAGGCCTGCTTCCTCTTTTTTTTTTTTTTTTTTTGTCTTTTTTCTTTTTATCGGTACCGGGGATCGAACTCACGACTGCCTGCTTGCAAGGCAGGTGCTTATGCCGCTGAGCTAAATCCCCAGCCTGCTTCCTCTTGACATTTCCTTCTAGCAGTCCACCCACTGCCCGAGGGAAAGGCATAATTCTGTATCAAAAGTTGATTTCTTCATTGCATTCACAGAACCCTGCCCTCCCCAGTTCTTGTCTTTGTCTTCTGTTGGTTTGGAATGTTAGACTGTAGCCCTGGTGTGTAAATAATGTACATAGAGTGAGGAGAAACTTGACATCGAGGTGTTTGAAATATGGAACTGTAAGAACTTCTAGGCATTCTAAACCTGTGCTTTCTGTGCCATTTTCTGTAAAGATACGAGTAAGAATAAACTTGAAGTAAAAACAGGGATCCAGGAGTCCTCTGTGGCTGGGGATGGTGTATACTTAGGTGGCATAGAGAAATCCAGTGATTCTTAGGACAAATCTAGGCCCCTCTTTCAAAATTACTCAATGTTGTACAATCCTTCAGTGACAATTGCCATGTGATATGTGACCCTTCTCCACTGCTGACTCGAATGCCCCGGCCACGGATTCCCTACACTGTCCCCTCTACCGACCCCTCCTCCCCATCCCGGTTTCCTTTACACTGCTAGTGCAGCCCGCAGCTGATATGGGCCCCCAGGAGCCCGGACTCCCCTCCCTTTGGGTACCTCTGTGAATTTGCATTATCTTATCTTCCTCCTAAACAACATCAAACAGAAAAGGTAAGCACATCTGGGGCTAAAAGTCAGATTATGCTAAATCCTGGTCAAAGAGGAAGGTGCACCGGAGAAATTGCCTGCCGGCAGCTGTGACCCAACAACTTAATGAATGTGTTGCCTGGAAAATTACAAGATGGGAGTGCAGTGCATAGACTGGAGAGGCTCTGTTGGAGCTTTGGGCTCAAGAATTCTCACAAGATTGTTTCATTTGGCTCAGAAGTGAAACTCTCTGGAAGAAGTTTCTGGCATCCTGTCATCCAAAGAGATCCACAGGTTGGCAGTCCCCATGCCCACAATCCGACCCTGGTGGGATCCAAGGGGCACATTTGGGAACACTGCAAAGGGTTCAAGCCCCACCTGCTTGGGCAGCTCCCCACCTGCCCAAGGCCCTCCACCTGCCACTGCCCCTCACTCTCCTCATCCCCAAGGCCTCCTGATCCTGCAGAGAGATTTCTTGGCTCTGTCCTCTTGCAGTGCTTGGGATGGTGCTCCACTGTGGCACGTCCTGCATTGTGCTATAATGTTTTAATTTAGCAATCTATTTTCCCACAGGACTGAGTTTTAGAGTTATCTCTTATTCCTAGAACCCACCAAAGGGCCTGCTACTCCATCCATTGCAGAATGAATGTTTTGTCTGTAACTGATCCAATTACTCAATAATTTACGGGGTAGGGGAGGTAGCTCAGCAGCGCAGGGCCTGCCTGGCAAACACAGGCCCTAAGTTTGATTCCTGACACAAAAGAGAAAAAAAAATTAATGAGAGTCATTGAGTATCTAATATCTATCAGGTGGAGGGACAAGGCCCTGGGGACACAGCAATGGACAGAGTTCCAAGTCCCTGTGGTCATGGAACTTACATAGAACCCCAGAACCATACTAAAAAAGACAATTTCAATTGTCCTAAGACCTTGGAGGCACGACTTACAGGACCATGAGAGCATATGATAGGGTGACCTCACCCTCTGTGGGGCTGCGGCCTGCCTGAGCCTAAATGGAAAACTAACAGCCGCTCCCATGGCAGCAGGTAGAAATCAGGACTCAGTGGGAGGCATCACAAGGAAGCAGAGGGAAGATGGCCACAGCAGGCAGGGCCAGGGTGCCGCTGACAGTGGCCCTGCTCTCAGGAAGCTCTGGGGAGCAAACTGGGACACTCACAGGCTTGGAAGATGCCAAAAATCCCGCTGAATATTCACCCAGGAGGGGATCTACCCTGGGCAGAGCCAGGCAGATGCCCACAGAGGGAAATGCAATTGGGCCTACAGGTGGCCCATGAGGGATAGGCTGGGAAGCCGCAGTCAAAGGGAGGTCTGGCGGGCCAGGCCCAGATGGGCAGGAGAGATCCTGCTCAGCCGCTGTGGTACCAAGGAGCTGCTTCTGCATCAATCTGGAGTCGGGTCCTGGAAAAGGCGAGCGCATCCAGGCTGCAGGCTCGCCATCCTGCCGCTAGATGGCGCGTGCACCGGAACGCCCACTGCGCAGGCCTGGCAGGAGGGATGGAGCGGAGGCTGGCTGCAGCGGGAGGGTGGCTCATCAGGTGGTGACGGAAGGGGTGCTGCGGAAGCCCAGGCGGGCCAGGAGAGAGCAGCTGCGGTCCCTGGTCTGCACCATGCCTGGGACCTCGGCCACTCTGATCCCTCTGACCTCTCCAGCCATTCACATCGCCTGCATCCCACCGCTCTCCTGCTCCCACTGAAGCTGTGGTGCCCCCTCCCCAGCCGCCCCGCAGGTACAAGCGGGGCATCCTGGCACATCAGCTGCCACAAAGGAACTGAGGCAGGGGAAGCAAACGTAATCCCAGGCTGCTAGATGCCAGAAACTCCATGTTTGCGTTTCCCAAAATTGGAGAATAAATTCTAAGGAACAACAGAGGTTAAGTAGGAAGTTTTATCGAAAGAGATAGCTCATGAGACACAGGAGGGGACCTGAACGTGGGCTGCCAATGCGCTAATTTCTCTGAGAAAGTTTTATGGAGCAAAATCACGAGGTGGATTACAAAATGCAAATATAGGTACTTGGCTAATACTGATCCAATAATAGCAAAGACATATGGATGACATTAACCTTGGTGGATAATCTATTACACACACACACACACACACACCAGGAATCAAACTCAGGACCTTGCACTTGCCAGGCAAGCACTGTACCACTGAGCTATATCTATATCCTTAGCCCCTTATAGTCTTTTTTTTTTTTTTTTTTGGTACTGGGATGGAACTTACAACCTTATCCTCCAGCCACAGTTTTGGTATGTTCTCATCCCCTATCTGACTGCATATGGTATTTCTGCCTAACTTAGTTGTCTAACAGAACCGTGCTAAAGCCAGATGTCAGTAAGGGGAAAGGGGGTGAGGGAGTGGTGGGAACTCTGGACTCATGCCAGGATTTTTCTGTATGTCTAAAATTATAAAAATGGTACAGATTTTAAAAATAAACTACTTGGGCTGGGTGTGGTGTTGCATACCTGTAATCCCAGCACTCAGGAGACTGAGGTAGGGGACTGCCATGAATTTGAGGCCAGCCTGGAATGCAGAGTGAGATTGTCTCATAAAAAAGGAAGGGGGGCTGGGGATTTAGCTCAGTGGTATAAGCACCTGCCTTGCAAGCAGGCAGTCATCGTGAGTTCGATCCCTGGTACCGATAAAAACGAAAAAGGCAAAAAAAAAAAAAAAAAGGAAGGAAGAAAAGGGCTACATGGTAGTTTGGAAGGAAAACAATGGATGGCTTCTTCCGCTTAGAACCAGTGCCAGGGCTTCCTGTTCCTGTCGCTAACTCCCTCCACTTACCAGTGATCACCCAGGCACCTCTAGAGAACTGCACCCGGGTCAAGAGCTGGTCGCCTTCCCTGGTTCTGCCTCCGGGTGCGTCCTGCCTCCCATTTCTTCTTCAGAGCTCCCTCTTGCTCTTTCCATCTTCTTGGCAGCTCTTTGTCTTAGTCCCAGAGCAGCTGAGGTTCCTGCTAAGTCACAGCTGTGTCAGCCAAAGAGTGCTTTGCTCCATTAATTTTCACTACGTATCAGTCTCTCCCATTTGGGCATAGTAGCGCATATTTATCCTACCACTCAGGAGGCCGAGGCAGGAGGACTGCTATGAGTTCCAGGCCAGCCTGCGCTATAAAGTGAGTGAGTTCAAGGCCAGCCTGAACTGCACAGTGAAGCCATCTCAAAAATAAAATAAAATAAAATAAAATAAAATAAAATAAAATAAAATAAAAATAAACAAACAAAAAAATCAGATCAGTGTCAGGGATTTAGCTCAGCGGCATAAGCACCTGCCTGGTAAGCGTGAGGTTGTGAGTTTGATCTTTGGTACCCCCCCCAAAAAAAGAAATAAAAATCAGATTGGTGCTAACTATTCTTATTGATTACTAGCTCAGCCACCCCTCACCTCTGAGAGGACCCCCTCCAAGTGCCTCCATGCCTCTGCTCCTGACATGGCAGAGCCAGAGTCACCATCATAGGAAGAGGGGAAGGAATGGCACGGGTGCCTTGTGCCGAGCTGCAGGATCACGTAGGCTGGGCTGTCGTGCACCAGGCTGAGGTTCACCTCCTACCTTGGCTCAGCACTGAGGCCGGGAGAAAGGTGACTACTGAGGTGACCAGCTATGGTGAGCCCCGAGGCTCAGAGAAGGAGCACAGGCCCTCAAGACTGTGCATTATTTTCTGGACCTGGGGACATTTCTCTTGTCTGGAGGGGTGGAAACCTCAGGAAAGATGGCTCATCTCCCAGATAATTATGGGCCCTTTTTTTAAACAAGTAATTTAAACATTCTTTGGATTCTCTCAATCTGTTCCTCTATCCTAGGATCAAGTTCCTACTCTTTTGTTCCTCTACTAAGTCAATTATTCTTTGAGTATGTACCACTTATTTATTTATTTACAAAATATCCAACGCCCAAACTTAAAGGAAGAAGGGCTTATTTAGCTCACAGTTGGTAGAGGTTCCAGTCCACAGTTGGATGGCTCAAAGGCAGGGTGGCATGGCAGAGGGGCAACCTGGGCAGGGTTCATGGCAGCAGAAGCCAGCAAAAGCAACAAGAATGTGTGTGTACCTCTTAATTGCTTCCAAATAAAACCCTTCCTGTTCTCCAGACTAGTCCTGAAAATTTTTTCTCTGCAAGGAGAGTCAGCAAAACTTTTTCGACAAAAACAGTGGATCAGGTTTCTTATCTCAGCCTCAGGAACCTCTCAGACCCAACCCAGTGACACAATTACCACATGTCAGTTACAAATAAAAATGTAGGGTTGGGGATTTAGCTGAGTGGCATAATGTCTGCTTGGCAAGCACAAAGTCCTGAGTTCAATTCCCAGTATCCCCCTCAAAAATAAATACAGCTGGGCATGGTGGCACACACCTACACACCTATAATCACAGCACTCCAGGGTCTGAGGCAGGAGGATCTCTGTGAGTTCAAGGCCAGCCTGGACTACACAGCAAGACCCTGTTTCCAAAACAAAGAACAAAAACCAAACAAACAAAAAAATTAAAATTAGCTGATTAAAATTTCACAAGAACTAAAATGTTTATACAGTCTCAAAGTATCTTTCCACAAAATCGTAGGAAAAGCGTTAGGGATTTAGCTCAGCAGCATAAGCGCTTGCCTGGCAAGCGCAAGGTTATGAGTTCGATCCCCACACCCTAGGAAAGGAGTCTAAATTTAGCCAAGGGAATTGTGATAAGCCTTGGGTGGCTTCCACTGGGATCAGAAAGTTCTAAATCTTTTTAGAAGTACAAATTAGGTTATGATTCCTTGTCTTTTTTCTACCTGGCTTTTATTTCTTTTATCTTTCCTCAATTGTACATATTTATGGGGGACAGTGTGACATTTTGATCCATAAATACATTTAAAGTTCGATGGGGTAAATGGCGTGCCTATTACAGTACTTCAGTGTTTCTTCCTTTCTTCTTGGGTTGTATTTTTGAGACAGGGTCTTCCTATGCAATTCAGGCTGGCCTTGAATTCAAGGCAACCCTTCAGCCTCAGCCTCCCAAGTGCTGGGATTACAGGTGTGTGCCCCACCTCTGGCTTTTCTCTCCTTTATGAGCCCTGGCCTAAAATGACTGGTGAGTGGATGAGGGATAAGGAAGAAACCAGATGATGCTTTTTTTTTTTTTTTTTTCTGTATCAGAAATCAAACTCAGGACCTCGCGCTTGCCAGGCAGGCGCTGTGCTGCTGAGCTACATCCCCGGCTCTCCAGATGCTGTTTTATCAATCCTGGCTTCAGGTCTCAGACCTGGGTGTGAATCTTTGCTCCAATGACCTTGAGCATGTGGCTCCCTCTCAGGGACCGTTCCGCATTACACATGTATAAATATCTAACATGGGGTAGAAAAGGAGCGGGGGCAGGCTGAGGCAGGACCAGCTAGGGCCATGCAGAAGGCGGCAGGGCAGTGGGGCTGGGCTGGGTGAGGCCTTGCAGCGGCAGCATTTTGAACTTTAAGCGGCCAATTTGCCATTCTAAGGACCCTCATGCTGCTTGGGGAGGAAGGGTGGGCTGGAAGAAGCTGCAGGGAGGCGGGGAGGAGGCCACCACAGGCAGCTGTCCTGGCCAGCTTGGTGGTGGCAGGAAGAGGAGCAGGAGTGGGCTCTGGGCTTCAGATACATTTTGGAAGCAGAACCCACCTGACCTAGTGATGGGCTGGGCAGGGGACTGTGGCCTGAGCTTCAGGGGAGTGAAAGTCCGGCTCTGTGACAGGCAAGGTGAATGCAGCAGGTGAGGGTATGCTTTGAATATGCTCAGGAGAGTGCTCAGCCATTTCCTCTTGCTGGGAGCTCAGCCCCCTCAGCTGGGGCGGAAAGGGAAGGCAGTGGCTTCCAGATAGGTCTCCTGGGAATGAGCAGGAACACATTCCTGGGAATGTGGTAGAAGCTGGGCCTCTTGCAGGATTTTTTAAAAATCGGTACCGGGGATCGAACTCAGACTGCCTGCTTGAGAGACAGGTGCTTATGCGGCTGAGCTAAATCCCCAGCCCCTGGCCCCTTGCAGGCTTTTGAAGGGCGGCTTCTCTCTATGTCTTGCCTGTGCTTCCTGTAGAATCACCTCTATCTCAGGGCCCAACTCAGAACCACCCAGGATCTCATCATCAGGGTAGGACACCAGCCAGGAGCCCTTGGCACTGACAGACAGAGTGTAGAAAAGCACCCTCTCCAGAGGGCAGCTGGCACCGTCCTCCAGCTTCTAAGAAGAAAGCTCAGTTCTGTACTGGATGCGCAACACAGCACAGTTCCCTGTGGAAGGTCCCTGGCACCTTCAAAACACAGAGAGGGCTAACCCAGAGCGGCCTGTCCTCTGCCCATGAGAAGCACCTCTCCTGACCTTCTTCCTTTGCCCACAGCCTCTCTCACTTCGCCTCCCTCCCCACTGGCAGGTCCCCAGCTCGCCCTCCTGGTCCCCAGCCTTCTTCTGCTGCCTGTGGGAACCCCAGGCTTGGTCCAGACTGTCCCACAAGTCTCCAAGACACCCCACACAGATGCTGGCAGGGGAGCCTTGCGTCCCTTCACCTTTTGTCTCTGCTGGATGGCTGTGAGGATGAATGAGTAAATGTCTGGGCAGTGCTGGATGTGTGGGATGAGCCGCGGCTTTTAGAACTGCGCCCTGTATGTGCTGCATTTATAGATTTTGTTCACAAGTTAAGACCACTTTCTACCTACCCTGGTGTGGAAGGCCACCTGATGATTACTGCCAACAGCATAAAGGAGAAAAGCAGGGAAAGACAGTGCATAGTTGATTCTCCTGGAGAAGCCTGTCACGCTGGCTTTCCTGATACGAACTCAGCTGTTCTCATTGTCAGAGGAGCTTGGGTCTTCCCTGTTCCTGAGGATGGCTGTGGTTCTTTTTGGGGGAGCTCTGGTCCTTACTTTGAGCATCGCTTCCTAGCTCCAGTGCAGCTCCCTCAGCCCACTGGTGCAGATCCTTCATCCTGCTGGTGCAGACTTTCTAGCTTCCGCCACTGACCTTTGGGCCTTCCCAGTGCAGATCCTTGGTACAGACTTGCATGAGGCATTGTTGTAGGCTCTCGGCCTCTAGCTGGACATGTGGAGGACACTGCCATGGAATCCTGGCCCTCAGCTGGATTCTTTGGGTCCCTTCTGCATCTGACTTTGACTGAATATTATGAAATAATCCTATAAATTGTGTCCTGTGTTAAATCTATTCCCTTGTAAACCCTGGCTAAAACACCTGGTCTTTCTGAGACGGTTTATCCAAGGTGTCTCCTCTAACACCCGTGCGCTGGGGGAAGTACGCTAAGGATTTAAGAGACGTGGAGATACAGGACAGGCAGCCAGGGAGAGACCTGGGCAGCTATATAAGGAGAGAAGCCATGGGCAGAAAAATATGGTAGCAGGGATTTAGAGATGCGCTGCTTTGCAGTAGGCAATGTAACTTCCACCACCTCCTAAACCCTTGGCAAAATTCTGGTTTTTGGTTTTTTTTTTTTTTTTTGAAACAGGGTCTTGCTGTATAGTTCAGGCTGGCCTCAGACTCATGGCTATCCTCTTGCCTCAGTGTCCCAAGTACTGGAATTATAGGCATGTGCTAACATGCTCTGCACAGGAGGCAAATTTCTTAATATTATTTTCCATGGCTTTGTATGTGAATTGGCATTTTGGGGATGCCAGGATGATTTGATTTGATCATTTCATTTCATTTGGCATACTGGAGACTGACCCCAGGGCCTCACACATTAGCCAAGTGCTCTACCAACTGAGCTACACCCGATTCTTGTTAAAGTTATGAGATAAAGTCTTGCTAAGTTGTTCAGGGTGGCCTTAAACTTGCGTTCCTCCAGCCTCAGCCTCCCAAACAGCTTAGATTACAGGTGTGTGTCACCATGCTTGGCTCCAAATGCTTCAATTCTGTAAATATCTTCCACTTCAGGTTGAACTGGCAGCCCCTTCCTGCAGTGTCACGGTCTTCAGATCTGCCGAGTACCGTGCAGGGCAGGGGAGCGGCAGGAGGCTGCACCCTCCACTGAGGCACTCACATGTGGCCGTGGTCAGCAGCCGTCACTGAAGAATCGCCGTGGGCTGTCCTCGGCCTGCACAGCTGCACTCCCGTCCACAGAACAGCTGCACTGCAGCCACTCCTGGGCCCCAAATGACGGCGTCTCTTCTCTTCTTCAGGGTTTCTCATCCTTGATTCTCCTTGTGGTTCTTCTCACATTCCTGGTTCCTTTCTGGGCTTCTCAGATGGGGAGCAGTGGATGTGTGGGAGACCCACAGATAGGGAAAAGTCAGCAGGACCCAGAGACAAGGTTTCACTAAGTTCCGTGGGCTGGCCTTGAACTCATGACCCTTTTGCCTCAGCCCTGAGTAGCTGGGATTACAGATGTGTCCATGGCACCAGTTCAACTCCCAAAGTGCTTTTCAACCACAAGATGCATGTAAGGGCACTGGAGAGATGAGGTGGCATTAGTAACCTGGGGCAGCGTTTCCCAAGCACTGGCCCCTACCCTCCCATCTGGGGTCATTTTATAGGGTACCATCAGGCATTAAATAACCTCACTTTTTTATTTTGGTACTGGGGATCAAACTCAAGACTTTGTGTTTGCCAAGTAGGCACCTGTGCCACTGAGCTAAATCCCTAACCCCAATAACTTCAAATTTTTATAGTGATAAAATTATTTCCCTTGTAATTTCCATTCTACCTTTTTAGCTTCATTAAAGGGAGAGATCTCAGTTGGATATTACTATGTCTAACTCCTTAACTTTAGCCCCAGCCCATCTTTTTTTTTTACACAGAAAGCCGCAGGCTCTGGGTCTTTGCAGGTCATGTGTACCTGTAATTTATTATCTCTCCTTACTTTCAAAAAAAATTTTCATTTAAAAATTTTTTTTTATTTTCCATTTGTGTCAAAGGTAAAGTTTCTTTAAAGAAATCCACCCAAGGGCTGGGGGTGTATGCTCATGTATGAGGAGGTCCTAGGCTTAATCCCCAGAGGGAAAAATCTATTTAAATAAAAAGGTAAGTTATTATTTTTTTCTTTTTTTGTGGTCTCGGCTTGCCTTGAACTTGTGGGCTCCATCAATCTTTCTGTCTCAGCCTCACAAGTAGGTGGAACTATATGTACATGTCATCCTGCTGGCTGAGAGTTTTTTTTTTGGTCTTTTTCCTTTTTATCGGTACCGGGGATCGAGCTCATGACTGCCTGCTTGCAAGGCAGGCGCTTATGCCGCTGAGCTAAATCCCCAGCCCCTGGCTGAGAGTTTTTAAAATATTATGTAAATAACAATATGAGAAGTACAGACATCTAGCAAAAATCAAGGAGGCAATACATGGACATCTGAGCTTTGGGGACATTGTTTTAGGATAAGGAATTTTTGGCTCAATAGCTTCTACTTCATGCTTTTGTGCTGTGTTTGCCTGTTTAGTTTTTTTCTGTTCTCGTTGTCCCTGAATACAGATATTTTTGAAAAAAACCCCAAACTTGTTTTAGCTGGTAAGAAAAAGGGGATTTTTCTCTGGGTTAGTTAAGAAAACAAAGACAGGAGGGCCCTGAGGAGAGCGCTGAAGGGGGGCTGGGGGTGCACAGGGTGAAGGCCGTGAGCAGCAGGTGCCGCGCCTGGGCAGTCTGAGCGTCAATAAAAAGATCATTCTGCTGTATGAGAAGCAGAGAAAGAGCAAAAGATACAAAGTATTTTTTTTTAATATTTCACTTTTCTTTTTAAAAAAGTTATAAAATTTAAATGGTCAGTTAATTGAAGTTAAAAATCTATTGCAGCAAAATTTCACGGGTCCTCTTGAACCAGTTCTCCAGGTCCTTCCCACCCTGACCCTTCCCATGGCTTGCACATGCTTGAACTGTTCAACAACATGATCTCAAGTAATATGTAAGTTATCAGCACTTCGGGCATGTGGCGGCCCCAGAAGCAGCACTGGGGAGATCTCAGTGTCACCTGTGGGCCATCCGGGGTGGGACGCCGCCACTGGGCTCCCATGCAGTCGCTGAGAGGTGGCCCTGGGTCCCTCCCGCCCAGCAGGCCTGCCGGTCTCCTGGGGACTGTCCCGGGCTCAGCACTTCATCCACATCCTCGCTTCATTCTGCTTTCACTCTAGTCAGCTCCCATCTTCCTCCTCCACAGAGTTTCAGAACCCAGGAGTGAAACTAGGAGACAACGATCGATCAGGTCACCAGGCCGCCAGAGCAGGAGACATCCTGTTCCCTTTGCCACATCCTGTTCCCATCCTGCCCATGTGGAGGGGACTCAGGCCCTGGGGTGTTCCTCATCCTTGTGGTGGGGTACCTTCTCCAGGCTGGGCCGATGCCCCACACTGATGAATGTCATCCCTAGCTGCTGGCCGATGCGGTACAGCTCGCTCTCAACCTCCTCCGTCAGGGCGCTGGTGGCTTCATCAAGCACTGAGGGCAGGCACAGAGGGAAGGGGACGAAGTCTGGCCTAGCTGCTGGGCTTCTCCGACAACCAACCCTAAACTCCTGGCACAGGGAAAGCTGAAAGCTGCTCTGGCTTCCAGGAACCCAGCCTCAGGGGAGATGGGCTAAGTGAGCTGGGGGCCGGCTGGGAATGCTTCTGTGAGCTGGCCAAAGTCCCTGAGCTTCCTGGAAGTAAGCGCCGCTGCTTCCTAGGACTGCTCAATCTAGGGACACCCAGTTCCTCCCAAAAGCCCACACCTGCCACCACTCAGCCAGGCATTGCTGGGGCAACACCCACTCATTTGACAGCCCAAGAGGCTAAATCACAGCTCCCCTCAAAGCTGGCTCTGGGCTCCAGCTGCTGCCACGGCAGGAAGTTTCCACAGGGTTCTGCTCTGTGAGCGCAGCAGTGACCGGCACGCACAGCTGCAGGGCGGGTGGGCCTCACCTGCGTACTTGGGCTGCAGGTAGAAGAGTCGAGCAAAGGACAGTCTCTGCATCTCTCCCGGGGACAGGACATCATACCTGGGAAAGGGAGCTTGAGGTGAGTGAGGGGGAAGGAGTCGACAGCTTGGCTTTGTGAAGTTGGGCAAAAAGGAGTTCAGTGTGGAGGCTGCTCCCCTCCCCTGCCCCAGCCCCAGCTCTACCTTCCCCCATGAGGCGGAAAACCTGTGTGTAATGATGATGGAATACTTGGCCTCTGGAGTCAGGAGCCTGGGGACCCACTGTCTCCATGGGGAGCTGGCTAGAGCACCCTAATTCCATTCTTACCAGTTCCAATCCACCTGCTGGTCTAGACCCTCTGTCCTTGCCACCAAGTTGGACTGTAACAGACCCAGAGGGCACAAGATCCATGAAAGGGCCATCCCCGCTTCATGCCATCCTCAGTTCCCATGATATAAAAGCTTGGAGACAGACACCCCAAAGGCCTGCCAAGTGGAGCAGCAATTGTTTAGCTCTGCTGGAGCGCGGTGATAATAAAAAGCACACGGACTTAGTTTTATTACCGCTTTAAACTTCTCTAGAGAAAGCACACCACCATACTCCTACCCCTGGTCAGTGGCTTCTACTGCCAATATGTGACCCGCTCTCCACCATAGTCCTGGTCCAGGGACGGCAGGGCCTGGCTGCTGGGTCAGATCTACCTGCAGTTGGTGCTCCCAGGTGGGCACAGGAGCCCTGCCTACTCACCAGGCCTGCCAGTTCCAAGAACCTCAAGATCCTTTCGTCATCAGTAGAACCTGTGAAGCAGAGAAGGCATCTTCAGCCCATCAGCTCCTCCGGCAGAACAGATGGAGGCACAGCACAGCAGGGGTGGCTGCCCCAGAATGCTGGGCCGTGGCCAGGTGAGACGTGACTGCGCTTGATAAGGGAAGGACCAAGTGAAAGAAGCAGTCACTTCCTTCAAAGGGCATCTCTTCCCTGGGAGGGGAAGATGGAGCCGGATGAGGTCATAGTAGGAACCTCAAAACAGTAAGAGCCAAGTGAGTCCCCGGACAGAGCAGGGACAGCAGGTGGGATGCTGGGCCCCAGGAAGGCTCACCTGAGTCTGGGTAGATCTCCTTCAGGGGGTAGATCACCTGAAAACACAAACCACACTGCCTAGGATGGGTGCTAACAAGAGGCAGTTCAGGCACCCCCCAAACTGTCCGGAGAGGATGGTGTCCTGAGGAGTACGGACACCTGGCCCAGCATCCAGCAAGAGTGACTCAGAGTGCTGACAGCGGGGTGGGGTAACTGTAATCTTCAGAAATATGTTTGGGGGATAAGAGTCTGTGGTCTCCTGGGACAGGAACCCAGAATTCAAGCTTAGTCTCACAAATGTGAACAACTGGTCAGTGGCCCCACAGATTTACCCATGCCCAGGAGCTGCTGAGTACAGAAGTCCAATTCATGGATGGTGAACAGAATTTTCTCAGAACCCACGGTTTGCTGAGCATGGCCATCTTATGACCCCGCCCCTAAACCCCCTGGGGCCAGAGACCTGCCAGCTCCCAGAAGGCCTGGCTTATATGGGTGGGAGATGGGGAAAGAGCGGCCTGTTTGGGCTGACCTGTTCCCGGAGGGTCCCGTCCGTGAAGAATGGCTTTTGTGGTAGGAACAGCACCCCGTGGGGCCCAAAGTCGGCCAGCATCTGCACGGAGCCTGCAGAGCCACAGAAGCCTCTGCTTTGCGATCTCACAGAGGAGCTGCTGCCTGTCCTTTCCTCCTCACCTCTGCCCCAGCCAAGAAGGCTGGAACCCGCCATACTGCCACACCAGGCCAAGGCCAGATCAGGGCAGGGAGGGCCCAGCTCTCACCCCGGCTGCTGGCCCACAGGCCGCCCAGAACGCGCAGCAAGGAAGTCTTGCCAGTGCCCGTGTTGCCCGTGATGAGCAGACTCTGCCCCTCGCAGATCTTCAGGCTCAGGTCCTTGATCAGAGGCTTGTCAGAGGACGGGGCTGAGACACAGACCCGCTCCAGGAGAAAGGCTGTGTCCACAGGCTCGGCCGCGGGGCATCCTGGGGCCCTGGAAGGAAGAGGGAGCAATGCGAGCTCTGGCTCTGACCACAACATGGCCTCTGCTTGGGGGAGGGCGTGTATGGGCTGCACTGTCCCCAAATCCATATGACATCCTAGGCCCTGTACCTCAGAATGTAACTGCAGGGGAAGTTTCATTTTATTTTGAGACAGGGTCTCACCACATAATTCAGGCTGGTCTTAAACTCACTAGGTAACCCAGCCTGGGCTTAAACCTGTGACAATCCTCATGCCTCAGCTTCCCAAGTTCTGGGATTACAGGTGTGTGTAATGCCTGGCCCCTTAGTTGTTCTTATAAGGGACAGGGTTGTGCCATGTTGCCACGGCTGGCCTCAAATTCACAACTGTCCTTCCTCACCTTCTTGAGTACCAGGGACCACAAGCACATGGCACCATGACTGGCGACATGGAATGGATTTTAATTAGTCTCAACACCCATGAACTACATTCTCCTCACTTGGCAGATGAGGAAAGTGTAACAGGAGGCCAAGGTCACAGCGTTAATTCCAACAGCAGTGGGCTTTTGTGGTGCCACAGTGGCCACAGAGTGCTGGCCCGGAGACGAGAGTGGTTAGGCCCTTGCTCCTAGGAAAAGAGCTGAGCACAGGCGCCCTGGAATTCAGACCATTTCCTTTCTGAAAGTTTAGCATGTGGCTGCTGTCTAAGCATTTTCCAGGAATTATGAAATACAATCCTCCAACCACACAGAAGGTTCTGTTCATATCCCTTTTATAAAAGTGGATGACGGAGACAGGATCTTGCTTTGTAGTTAGGCTGACCTTGAGTTCACTATGTAGTCCAAGCTGGGCTTGAACTCACTGTGATCCTCCTGCCTCAGCCTCCCGCATGCTAGGATTACAGGTGTGAGCCACCATGCCCAGCTTGGGACAGATTATTTCCCTACATAAAGTGAGAACTGAAACAAATCTTAAAAGCACAGAAAGGTCAGAAACATTCCTGATCCCCCAAAGTACAGCAATAAAGACACTTCTGGGTCTGAGAGGGGCCAGGTAGAGGAGGCAAAGGATGAGAAAGGTACTAGCCAGATCTCTGTTCTGTCATGGGCCCCAGGCAGGTGTGCATGCATTGCATCTATTAGCCTGGGACTACGTAACCCACAGTGGGTGACAAGGTATCCTTGCAGCTCTGCCACTGGGCAGGAGGGAGGGATGGGGCTCCAAGGCCAGCTCAGCTGTATCCTCACCCAGCCGGGCACTGCAGCACTGCACCCACCTGTCCAAGCCCTGGTCACTGTCAAAGTCCTGTGATGTCATGGACGCATCCAGCAGGGCCTCCTGCAGCTCCCCAAGCCTGGGCAGGAAGTGAGAAGCTGAAGCAGTGTTCGGGCTAGGTGATGGCCACACTCCTTTCTGTCTCACACCGGCTGCACGAGCTGAGCTTCTGCACTCCTTTCCCCATCTGCTGCTCCTTCCATGTGCACTCCGCTCAGGGCCACAGCTCACCTGTGCGTGTAACCGGCCACGTCTGAGAGTGTGGTGGAGAGGTCGATGAGCTTGGTGAAACAGTTGATGAGGTAGATGCACACGAACGCGTTCTGGACAGGACAGAGCACACTCAGCACAATCTGAACCCCAAGGCCCTGGGCAGTGAGATGAGAAGGGGACAGCGGGAGGGGATAGCTGGAAGGACTCTTACCTTGCTGACCAGGGTGCTAAGCTCAGTGGGACTCAAGTCTCCATAGACCCCATTGAAAATGGGGATCGCGATGACGATGTAACTCAGGATGCCGCCCATGTAGTCAAAGGTGTTGACGCCGACTGCAGGAGACAGACCGCATGAGGTCCAGGAGCCGCTCACGCGCTCTCAGGGGACCCAACCCCGAGGAGCAGGAAGCCAAGCAGGACCATGCGGCCCCAGTCCTCATTCTCCTGAGGACAAAGGCGTGGCACAGGCAGCGGCTCATCAGAGGAAACTGGACCAGGACGGGAAGAAAAGCAGACCCTCTGTGCCCTGTGGTCCCCACCTCCAGGGGCCCTTCTGCCTACTGTATAGCCAGAGCTCCTTGGACATCAGCTCCCTCTGGGTCTGAAGGAGTCGCTGAAGCCTGCGGTCTGTCCTCATGTGCTCCACAGAGCCGGCTCTAATGAGAGAGGCTGGGATGTCCATGGGGCCACAAGGACTTGGGCAGGCTGGGGATTCCCACCTCTCACTGGGTCCATGAAAATGACCTTAGGCTCAGACCCTTGCTGCCACCAGCACGGATGCACTGCCTGTCATTCCTCAGAGCACTGTCTATAGGAAGAATATGAACTGTAGACTTAGCCAGACCTGGTTCAAATCCTGGCTTGAGCCAGTTTCTAGTTGAGTGACATTGGCAGGTTACTTAAATATCTAATACCTTAATTTTTCTCATCTGTATAATGGAGTAAGAATAGCTACATAGGACTGAGGATTTAGCTCAGTGACATAAATGCCTGCCTTGCAAGGGTGTGGTCATGAGTTACGATCCCAGGTACTGATAAAAAAAATTTAAGAATATCTACATAATAAACTAGGAATTAACTGTTTGAATATAAGCTAGGTGTGGTGCAGTATACCTGTAATCCCAGTGCTTGGGAGGTTAAGGCAAGAAAATGGTCAATTAAGGCCAGTTTGAGCTGCTTCACATGATCATGTCTCAAAAAAACAAAACAAAACAAATGGCTGGGTGTGGTGGTGCCTGTAATTTCAGCATTCTGGAAAGCTGAGGTAGGAGAATCACTAATTTCAGCCTAGCTTTGAGAATTTAGTGATTTAGCAAGATCTGTCTCCAAAAAAAAGCTAGGGATGTATGTGGTTCAATGTGACCGTCCTGGGTCTAATATCCAGTACCACCACCACCATCACCACCATCACCACCATCACCACCATCACCACCACACACACACACACACACACACACACACACACACACACACACACACACACACACAATGTTTTGAATATAAAGAACCAGATAGAGCACTGGGGATTTAGCTCACTGGCATAAGTGCCTTGCTTTCCTAGCAAGCACAAGGTCGTGAATTCAATCCTTGGTACAAAAAAAGGAACCAAATACATAATAATAAACAAGAGCTATTATTAATCAAATACAATGCAGCAGTCACTACTGCCAGGCTCGGTGCTAGTCAGCTAGAGGTGGATAAACAGTTTCTGTCCTGTGGAAACCCCAGCTCAGAGGGCAGGCAGACACACCAGGAATATGGGGGTGGGGGTCAAGTGTGTCCTCAGGGACATGCTAACACAGACCTGAGCACTCCCACTAAGGGTCTGAGAACGTTCCCCAGAGGGTGATGAGGGCCAATGTCAGGCAAAGATGAAGACTGAAAGGGTGCATTTCAAATTTTCCAGAGTCTGAGCAAGACTCATTCTGGAGCCGAAAGGACTAACCTGCCCTGACTAGGGCTCCCTGAGCAGAAGCTGCAGACTCTAAAATCAAAGCCCTACCCACCTACACCAGTCACCCAGGGCCAGCTCGGACTCCTACATTCCTGATGCCCCCAAGTGGCAGCGGCTGCAAACTGCAGCAGAGACAAGAGCAAATGACCCAAGAAAGGTGATCCAAGGAATAGCACAACTTCTGAACCACAATCCCCCGGGGCCTGTACCGAGTGCGCTCGCAGACTCAGAAGGTCCTGCAGGCAAAGCACAGATTTCAGGACCCCGACATCTGGAGCCCTGGCACAGGCTCCCCCAGACAGTCTCAGTGCACAGCCACTGCTGCCTATGCCACAAGGGCACAAGGAATCAGCCCTGAAAAGCAGGCGCTGGCAAGACAGCTATTTCACGGGCAGACAGAAGCAGAAGTGATGCCTTCCAGTCATCAGCAAGGAGCAGCATTTTACTATTTTGCTTTGTGGCCCCTGCAGGCTGTGTGATAGCCCACTAAGCCTAAAGCTGGCTACTGCAAGGAGCCACCAACTTCAGAAGCAAATTTCAGAGGGAAAGGGTCACAGGGATGTGTGACAATGCTCAGCCCGAGCACGTGGTGCCAAGAGGGTTGCAGACTTCTCCTTCTCCACTATCAGCTCTGCAGGCGGGAGGGCTCATCTCTGGCAGACTCACCTGTAGAAAGCAGCAGGCTCAGCATTCACCCGAAGCTGCATGTGCTTGAACCTGGGCAGAGGGGAGGGAAGTTCGTGCTGACGGCGGCAGCAGCAGCGAGGATCAAGAGGAAACCCCGCCTCTCCAACGCCTGGGCAAAGCAGACAGCAGCTGAACTCAGCTGCCTCCACTGGCCTTCCCCCACTGTCTCAGGGGTGGAAAATCAAAGGACAGGGTCAGATGGCCTCAGCCCTCTGCAGACAGCATGGGGAGCTCCTTCCACAGACCTCCTCTCCCAGGCCCACCCTCAGGGAGAGCCTCGCCACATGAATCAGTTGCCAGGTCCAACAGATCCAGGAAAGGGTGGCTGGACCAGAAGTAGGTAAAAGGTAAAGGGACGGTAATGACATTGGTGATGACTGACTGGACACCCTTCTGTTTTTCATGGATCTCTTTAGGCCTTTCACAATGGCAAAGGAACCATCCCACTTTAGATGACAAAACTGAAACTTACAGAGATGGCAGATCTCGCCCAGTGTCACACAGCTAGTAATTGGCCAGCTGGGAGCTAAGGCAGCTCTATCCCACCTCCCCTCTTTTAGCCATGCTCAGCCCAGAAACCTCAAGCAAGGACAGGCATGGTGGCACACATCTATAATCTCAGCAATTGGAAGGCTGAGGCAGGAGCATCATTATGACTCTGAGCCCAGCCTGGGCTACCTAGTGAGTTCAAAGCCTGCTGAACTGCATAGTGAGATCTTATCTCAACAAACAAACAAGAAATTTTAAGTAAGACATACACCTACACTGGGCATGGTGGCACATGCCTGTAATTCTAGCACTTGGGAAGCTGAGGCAGGAGGATTGCTGTGAGTTCGAGACCAGCCTGGGCTACAAAGTGAGCTCAAGGCCAGCCTGAACTGCATAGTGAGACCCAGGCTCAAAAAAGACCAAAAAAAGACACGCACCTAAAATCCCCCTCCAGTTTTTCCTGCTGCACCAGTTTGGCCACGATGGGCCCCATCAAAGTCTTGTTCACCACAGTTCCCAGGATGAAATATCCGAAGATACTCACAGGCCCAAGCCAGCCTGTGCTGAAAGGCAGGGTGAGAGGGAGGGCGGAGAAGGGCATGGGACACCAGGGAGCTTCACAGGCCTCGACCTACCTCTCCCTGTCTTGGGTAGGCCCTGCCCGACCTCAGCAGCCCCGTGGCTCCGATCCCACATGACCAAGATTCCTGTGACTCTGAAACTCTGCAGGGCCACAGAGAGCGCAGGGGCCTGGCACATGAGCTAGGAGACTCCCCAGGGTGCAGGTGGGAGGGGCAGAGAAGCCTCTCTTGGGCCCTGACCGGATCACTGTGTGAGCTTGGAGGGAGGGGGAAAGACCAGCAGTGGGGGTGTGGGGGGAGGAAGACTCCCCAGGAGGAGGGCTGCACCTCTGGAAGCACTGGAAAGTGTAGTAGACGAGGGTGAAGGGCGAGATGATCAGCTTGCTGGCCATGCTGCTGAGCTGCCGGCACAGTCGCTCCACGTCCTGGCTGATGCGCTGGTCCCTGTGGCCAACAGCAGAGAGGTGGGCTCTGAGGGAAGAGTCCAGGCGCCCTGCCCTCTCCCAACCTCATCTTTCAGCAGTCACCCCATGGGAAATGCAGCAGTGAGGCAGGGTTTGTGGAGGGAACCAAACCCTTAGGACCTCTAAACAGGGGTCTGGATGGTGGCGTCTTATGGTGCCTCAGTTTACTTCAAAAAAGTAGGACCAAAAGGCCCAGCCTGAGCCATCTCTGAGCAGAGCCAAAGGGAACTTGAGGGTGGAGGAGCTAGTCCACCCCAGGCTGTCTCTAGGCCTGAGCCTGCCCAGTACAGCGGCAGGCCATCAGGAAGAGGCCGAGGTGGGCAGAGTGGTGGCATAACAGCACTCAGCGGCAGAGCTCAACTAGAGCTGAAGAAAGGCAGTCCTGGCAGCAAATCGCTTCCGAGGTGTGGTGAGTGGGGTGTGCATGGGAGTGAGAGAGGCCCCCAGGACCCCCTCACCACATGGCCACACTGATCCCTATTCCCAATGAGAAGTGACCTTGGGTGCTCGCAGTTCTGTGCCTCAGTTTCCTGACTTACAAAATAACAACAGCTAATTTTCACTGGAACGAAGCTGCGTGGCACTGCAGTTACACGCATGGTACCATTTCACCTTCATTCCATCCTATGGGACAGGAGCTATTACTTCATTTTATAGAACCGGAACCTAGAGCTTAGTGAACAAACTAAGAGCTGCAAGCTGGGAGTGACAGAATTCGGATACAAATCCTAGACTGAATCCTAGACAACAGCAACTATTTTGGCTGCTGAAAATCCAAGAGGTTATTTTTAAGGAGGCTAATTTCTTCATTTGCCTTATTTAGAAGCACACATTATGAAACAGATGAAAGGGAGCTGCTTCTGGGCTCTGTTCTCTAGTTTCCTATTCTCAGCCTGACCATGAGTCCCTGTAGGGTGTCCCCTCTCTGATGGCTCTGGGCAGCAACATTTGCCCATTGCGCATGACCTCTGTGAGGTGTGCAGCCAGGATGCCCCAGAGCTAGGCCGGTGTGGGAAGGAGGCGAGGGCTGAGAGCGCGCCTACGGGTTGTCGATGTCATCCCGAAGCACGTTGAGGGTGTAGTACACGCGGGCCCGGAAGTAGAGACGGTGCAGGTGCTCGGTGAGCTCCTTCCTCCAGCTCACATACAGCAGGCTGGAGATGAACTGGTCAAAGCTCTTCAGCTGTGCAGTGGAGGAGGCAGGGAGAAGGAAGGGGAGGGAGAGATGGTTTGCTACAAGTCTCAATTCAAAGTTCAGGGCTAGCAGAAGCCTCTGCTGAGGAGGCCCAGCCCACTCTGACAGCTCAGCACTTTCCTTGTTGAAAGTCTCAAGTCATGGGATTTTTCCTTCCTTATTCACTCCCGAGTTTATTCCTTCACAAAACCTTGAAGGGCTTGCCAAAGGCAAGAGCCTCAGGCTCTTGTGACAGTATGCTGGGACACACTGAGAGCAGAGGAGTTTCCGGAGATTGGGCAGCACACTGCTGTTCCTCCCATTTATGTTTTTCCTCTTCTGACCCCAAATGTGGAAGAGAATGCATCTACCTAGATGCCTCCTGACTGCAGGCCCATCAGGGCCATGGTGCTTTCCTAGAAAACAGCCGGTCCAGCCAACAGAACAGCCGGCAGAGCCCGGACCCAGCATTTGGATCTGTGAAGTTCCTGTTCCTGTTTCTCTCTGTACCAAACAGCTGGGGAGTAACAGTGAGCACACAGGCCAGCCAGGGACAAGGGGAGGGGGTGAGGAGTGTGACAGCTGCAGTCAACTCACAGAATTACTGAAGGACAGAAAAGGGGCTGAATTTGGTGGAGGAAACATGAAGAAGAAAGGACTTGAAACAGGTGATGAGGAAGGTGAGGCAAAGAAAGCAAGCAGGCTTCAGCCAGCTGAACAAGTGGTGGGGGGAGGTGGCCATGCTGCAAGAAAGCAGCAGGCACAATGGCTGTGGTGTGACACGGTGCCAGATGAAGTCACGGCCTCAGGTGCCAGAGAAGCAGCAGCCGCTTCTGGCTGTCGATTCTGGTTTTCAAGTTCTTGGGGCTCCCCAAAACAAGAGTTCTAGCAATGATTGGGACATTGACCATTTTTGCAAAATGCCCAATTAAATGAGATTCTTGTGGCCTAGTTCTAAGTTTAAAATACCTGAAAGACTGGTCCCAAGTGGGCCAATAGCGAGATCAGTCCCTGCCTAGGGGTCTGACCTTTGGGGCAACCATTCCTCTAGTTCCCAGAAAAGAAACACACACCCCAACAGCTTGGTTCCCGCTTCCTGGAGGCTAAGTCCTGCTAGGCACCTGCACTCACCCTGGACAGGAGGAAGACAGACAAAAGGAAAGCCCTTACTATGGAGTTGACGACGATGAGCACGACAGCCAGGAGTGTCAGCGCCTTAAACCCATCCAAGTCTTTATTTCCCAGGACGCCATAATACTGGCTGGGGATCAAGCCAACCTGGTAGATCACCAATTGTCCTGCAGGAGGGAGATCAGAAATCAGTGATGAAGGAAAAACAAGGAAGCTTCCTCAGTCCCTGCCTCATCAACACCCCGGAAAGAAGGAAAGGGACCCCAGATCAGGGCTTGACCTTGCTCACTCACCCAGGAGGGCCACACACAAGAGAGTCAGGAACATCAAGACATTCTGAGATGACCAAGAAGGAAACAAGACCTTCTGTATCCTCAGGAATCGCTGGAGAAATTGCATATCTAGCTTAGGCCTGAAGAAAAGTCAGAAGCAGAGAGAAGCCCTGTGGGCAGTTAAGCCTTAACAGTTATCAAGCTTATCTTCTTAGGGGGACCAGGCCATGACTATGAACAGATCTCAGTGTGAATAGTGACACTATTAATAGAAACATAGAAAAATATCATAATGAGGGCACTACAATGACATTGAAGAGGGAAGGCCCTTCTTAAGACCCCAAACCCACAGACTATAAAGGGAAATATCGATGGATTTAATGTAATTAGAATGAAATACTTTTAACACAATACCATACATTTTAGTTAAAAGAGTTAGAGAAGGCATTTGGACAGAGTAAAACCAACACTGCAGGAGAATCTAGAGCAGGCAAGGAATTCCTGTAAGGAATTTAGGAAACCTACAGCAAAGTGGAGGATATAAGTAGGCAATCCACAAAGAGCAAACCCCACATTCCTAATACAGTAAGTGATTAATATTAACACAATGGGGCCACTACCTTATACTGATCAGCATGACAGGCCTACACAATTCCAAATGCTGGGAAGACAAGGGGAATAGGAACCCTTATGCACTGCTGTTGGGAAGTATAACCTGGGTGGCTGTTCCAGACAACAATTTAGCAGAACAATTATGGCCTACTATCTTGCTCTGGAATGGATAATCCTGAGAAAATAGCCGATACCTACTAGAATACTCAAGACAGTGTTGTCTGCAGTGGTTGAAATACTGAAAGCGATCTAAGTGATCATCACTAGGGAAATGAATAAATAAAATGGGTTCTATGCATTCAGTGTAGCGCCATGCAACACTCACAAGTGAAAATTCTTAGCATAAATGATTTCCAAAAGACAATGCTAGGTAAGATTCTTTTAAACCAGGAGTGGTAGTATATGTCTGTAATCCCAGCACCCAGGAAGGCTGAAGGAGGAAGATGGAAAAATTCCAGCCCAGCCTGGGCAATTTAGCAAGATCCTGTCTCAAAAAACAGTAAACACAAAAATTAAAAAGGATTGGGGATGTAGCTCAGGTGAAAAGCCCTGGGTTACACACACACACACACACACACACACACAGAGTATTTCTTTTAAAATATCTTATTTATATTAACTCAAAATCAGTGTATAACGATTACAACAGAGTGGATATCCAGGAGTGAAATGGTACTGAGAATAGTTTACAAGGGGGAAAGGTAATGGAAGAGGGGTGCACTCAGCGACAATAAGTGACAAGGATCATCAGCCGGATTCTGCGTACTTGAGGTTCTAAAGCAAACAACAAACCATGGGCGGCGGGTTGCAGGGCAAAGGTCCTACACCTGGGACGCCTAGGGCCAGAGCGGAGCGTGGGCGCCCCTTCGCTGGCTCCTCGTTCGCGCAAACGATGCCACAGCCGCACCGGAGTTCAGGGCGCCGGTCGCGTGGAGTGCGACCAACCCGCTTCCACAGCCCCAGTAAGACGCCCCCCTAGTCCTGCGCTCCTCGCCGGTCGCCTTGCTCACCTGGCGCCTGTTTTGGGTGTGGTCCCCGGGACTGCCATGATCCGAGCTCCAACCTAAATGGGAGCGCGGACGTCCCGGGGTCAAGAGGCGGGCAGAGTCCGCAGAGATTCAGGACAGTCCCGGGGAGGGGCGGGGCCCCGGAAACCATAGAGATGGAGGTGGATAGAGGCGACGCGATCGCTCCGGAAGCGACTGACTGCGAACGAGTGCTGAGCGTTCGGGCCACTGACCCGCGGCTAGAGCGTCCCTGGGAGGTTTGACAAGCGGCAGTTGAGACGTAACTGCTGCAGCTGATGACGTGTATTGTATTGTATTGTATTGTATTGTATTGTATTGTATTGTATTGTATTGTATTGTATTGTATTGCATTTTTTGAGACAGGATGTCACCGAGTAATTCAGGCTGGCCTTGAGTTCACTACGTAGCCCAAGCTGTCCTTGATCTCACAGCAGTCCTCCTTTCTCACCCTTCCCAGTGCTGGGACTACAGGCGGCCACCACAAGTCCAGCGAAGACAAGTATTTTAGATTTAGAATGTAGTAGGTTTCATTTTCTCTCAGGGAAGCTATCGTGGTCCTTTAAAATCATGAGTCATGCCGGGGACGCCAGCTCATTGATAGAGCTCTTGCCTACAATGCAGAAGGCCCTGGATTCCATCCTCAGCACTGCCAAAAACACAGACAATATACATCAGTCTCCCAGGGGCCAAGGATATAGCTCAGTGGCACAGCGCTTGCCTGGCAAGCGCGAAGGCCGAAGTTTGATTTCCCATACCTGTCTCCACCAAAAGTCAAAATCAGGCTTCCTCTGCAATTAGAATAAAATAAAAACATTTTCATGCGTACGTGATTGCATCTTCCCCTGGTCTTTCTGTTTACCGAACTGCCACTACCTTTCCCCTTTAGGGTCCCTGAACTTGTGATTCTCTTGGTGTCTCTCCCCAATTTAGAACTTTAAATGACTGTTTTTTTCTAGCATTAGCTGAAATGTGACCTATCACTCTACCTAGACTATGCTGTCCAACTCCATTTTTCCTATTACAGTACACTTTTATGCTCTTCATATTTTTCACTACCCAAAACTGTCTGTTTTCCTTCTCCATAAGAATAAACATTACAGGTTGGGGTACTGGCACATGCCTGTAATCCCAGCACTGAGGAGGCTAAAGTAGGAGGATCACTACAAAGTGAGTTCAAGACTAGCCTGAACTGCATAATAAAACATTGTTTTAAAAAGATAACAACAACAACATTACCGTAGGGACTCTGCTTTGGTCATTACTATTTCCTCAGTGCCTAGAACACTGCTAGCACATAGTACATGCTTAATAAATATGTCCAAAGAGGCTGGGGATTTAGCTCAGCGGCGTAAGTGCCTGCTTTGCAAATGCATGGTCATGTTCAATCCCCAGTACTGATAATAAATAAATAAATAAATAAATAAATAAATATGTCCAAGTGTTGAATGAAGTTGGCATAGTGATGCAAACCTGTGATTCTAGCTACCCACCCAAGGTGGGAGGATTGCAAGTTCCTGCTCAGTCTGGGCACTATAGTGAAACCCTGAACTAAAAAAAAAAAAAAAAAAGGATGTTTATCAGTTAATTAGAGTGCTTGGGGGTTATGGTGGGAAATGGCCCAAGAAACCAATAGTAATAGAAAACAATTACTAGAATGTAATTTCAGATGTACCTTCCAAACTTCCTTCAGTATTTATTGTCAAAGGTATGCCAAGCACTCAACAAGAAACATGTATCACTTGCTTCATGAAGCTTACAGTGGATCTGGGAAGGTCAGCCAGGTGACAATCATAGTTGTCTTTAGGATGTGCCATGACAAAGGTACTGCGCAGGCTTCCTGTCCTTGGCATCAATGACTTTTTGGGTCTAATAATGCTTTGTTGGATAGGCTTTTCGATATATCATAGGAGGCTGAGTAATAGCCCAGGCCTCTAACTACCAGATGCTAGTAACACTTACCCTGACCTACTCTCCAAAATCTCCAGACATCACCAAATGTCCCTTGGAAGAGACAGGACTAAAATTTGACCTCCCTCCACCCTCTAGCATGAATGATCACTGTCACTATCCTAGAACATAAAGAGGTCTCAATAGGATGGGGAACTAGATTGTCCAGAAACATATTACAGAAATAACTGAGTGCGTCTTAGAGGTGGCAAGAATTTAATTTAGTGTGAAATACAATTTCCTTTTTTCCCTTTTTTTTGGTACCAGGGATCAAACTCACGACATTGCATTGGCCAGGCAGGCGCTTGTGCCACTGAACTAAACCTCTGGCTGAAATATAATTTTCTAAGAATATCATTTTGTTTTTAAAATGTAACATGACAAGATGCAAATTTGTTTTGTTGAAACAGGGTCTCATTCTGTAATTCAGGTTGGCCTTGGAGTCACTATGTAGTTCAGGCTAGCTTTGAACTTGTGGCTGTCCTCCTGCCTCAGCTTTCTGAGTGCTGGGATTACAGGCGTGCACCACCATGCCTGGCAATAACCTTACTTCTTTCTTTTGTATGAGGAATCTAATTCAGGACTTCATGCTTGCCAGGCAGGCACTGTGCTACTGAGCTACATCAACCAACCTTACTTCTTGAGAGCAGTCAGGTTTATAGCTGTAATTGTCTTTCACTCTCAAAAATGTCCTAGTTGTGGGCCGGGGATTTAGCTCAGTGGCATAAGCTCCTGCTTTGCAAGTGTGTAGTCGTGGGTTTGATCCCCGGTACCAAAAACAAAGAAAGAAAGAAAAATGTCCTAGTTTTGGGCTGACGAAGTAGCATAAGCAGGGCCTGGATTCAGTCCCTAACACCAAAACCAAACAAAAACAGAACAACCAACTATTGTATTATGTGGTCTCATTACTGTCTCATGTCCCCTTGACGCTGTATAATTAAACTGTCAGAATGTGACTATTGTATCTATTCACGGTATCCCACCTGCAATGTAGGGTTTATTTTTTTCTCCCTTTTTCCTCAGCCCAACTTCATTCTGCTGAGCCAGTTCTTCCCCTACCTTTTTTTTCTTACTTTAACAAATGTGAAACTTTGCCACTATTAAAAAAAAACCGGCCAGGGGTTTAGCTCAGTGGCTGCATAAGTGCCTGCTTGGCATATGCGAGGTCATGAGTTCAATTCCTGACACACACACACACACACACACACACACACACAAACCCAAATAAACTATCAGGATATATTGAGGCCCAGAATATGGTAATCCTGAACATGGTGCTTTGGCATGTTGAGTACTTTGGACTGTTGAGTAGTTGGAGGCCACTATAAAGTGGCTCTGAGCAGGATTTAAAATTAACTAATTGGCTTTCTATATTTGTGAGTTGGTCCTGGGCCTTGACCCCTTGCCTGGCAATGGGAGCTGATTCATAATAAGTGAACCTCTATGAATCACTGATCCTGGCTGAGACCTGTAGAGGCCAGAGATACCTCAAAAGACAAGATAAGGCCACAGCTGAAGATCCCTTGGCTCCAACAGTAATTAAATAAATAGAGACTGCAGCTGAAGGAATTTCACTCCCGCAGTCTCGATCCTACCATAAATGTCATCCGGGAGATAAGATGGTTCTCCTAAATTGGCATAATTTACTACTTGGAAAAGTCTTTGAAGTGACTCCCAAGGTCCTGCTCATTGCCTGTGCTTTCCTCAGTTTCCCTGCCATTTGTTGTTGGACCTAATAAATATGGGTGGCCAGAGAAGTCTTTGTGTTAGCTCTCAGAGTCTTGAACTCAACTAAAGGGTTTTGACCCTCCTGGAGCCCTAAAATCATATCACTTGTCTCATTTTACTTAAGTATATACTATATATATACTATTACTATAGTATATACTATAGACTCATTTAGGGGGTTGGGGATGTAGGTCAGGACCCGATAACAGGTTGGAAGGCCCCGGAGACAGCCTCAGAGGTGAGTTCTGGCTAACCTTTTCCCTGTCCTCATGTTTTTCACCTATCATTTTCCCTTGGAACAGGTTATACACACCAGAGTCCTCTTCCTCAAGGCAAATCATAGAAACAGAAGCCTTCTTCCCTAAAGCAGGCCCCCAAACCTGCAAATATTATTATGACCTTTCCCTGCCTTTCTGCAGAGGAGGCAGTCATAGAAACTCTCTGACCGGCTTAATCCGACAGTAGATCATAACATCCTCTTTGCAATGGGCTCTTCCTGTGTGAGACCAGCCTTTTAAATCTGTCTCCAGACCAATGCAGGCTGAGCAGGAAGGGTAGTGTCAGCTGAGCAGAGACTTGTTCTCACACCTTCTGGAACTAAAACCATCTGGGCCTGTTTTATGGCAGTAAATGATTTTGGAGAGACTGTGGCCCATGAACTGTTAAAAAGAAAAAAGAAGTCTTAAAAGTTTAAAAGTTGGAAGTTTCTCATTGCTTTTGGTGTCTTTCACTGCCATGAACAGTTGCCCCTCTGCCATGTGTCACTCTGCCTTGGAGCCGGGTGGATTATGGACTGAAACTTCACAAACTGTCCTCAAGACGAAGATAAAATTTGAATAAATGGAATACAGCAATTCTGTAATGACCTCACATTTGGTCCAGTTAGCACTACTGTTTTTTTTTTTGGTACTAAAAATCGAAGCATCACGCTATTTTGATTGCTTCATGGTTCAGAGTAGCAACACAAAGTGAGTTCTCCAAGTGGGAGTCCAGGGGCTGGGGGTTTAGCTCAGCGGCATAAGCACCTGCCTTGCAAGCAGGCGGTCGTGAGTTCGATCCCCGCTACCGATAAAAATGAAAAAGACAAAAAAAAAAAAACCATTTGAAACCAAGTGGGAGTCCATTGATGGTATAACAGAATCAGGATATGACAGTGTAGAAAAGCTAAACAGGGACTCAGGATGTAGCCCAGCTGCACAGCACTTGCCTGGCAAGTGTGGGGTCCTGAGTTCAATTCCTGGTACAAAAACAAACAAAACTGATAGATTCTGTCAGCCTGGGTTTAGCTATGTCTAACATGACATCTGCCCAACTTGGCACCCGACCGCCAGAAACAATTTATCTCTCCAAAAGTAATTTCTGTGTTGTTCTTCTAGTTCCAAAAATAAACTTCCGGCTCCCTTTTCGCAAGTGTGTTGAGCCCTTTCCAATCCCAAGACTCCACAACTACCCAAACGCCCTATCCCCCGT